AGCGCAACCAAGGGAACTCCATCCCGCAGAAATCCCAGGCCAACAAGTCGGCCTACAACAGCTACAACTGGGGCGCCAACTGAGCGAGAGCGGAGAGAGGCTTCGAGGCGGCTCCTCCACACTTCCACCGAGAGACGGATCGAAGAGCGACGGCGACCGAAGCAAGAAGGAAGACCTCTGTTCCTCCCCCCTCAACCACCACCTGGGGGGGAGGGTTTGGAAAAGTCCTCTCCCCTCCCCTTCCCCACGGCACGGCCCTCCAGCGCCAGCCGGCTCGGCCGGCCAGATCCTGCACTCTTTCCCTCCTCTTCCCAGCCACCTTCCCCCTATTGTATGTAATATAGAATTTGTATCTTTCATTTCCCCCCCCCAACCTTTCCTTTTCTCTGTTTATTTCTCCTCTGCATTCATTCAAATTACGAGCCGTTCAGCCGTAGGGGCCTTTTTTTGTTTTGTTTTTGCTTTTGTTTTCTACTCCTTTTACTCCTTCTCTTACCTTCCTCTCCCCTGCACCCTCCCCCCTTTGCCAGAAATGACCCTGTTCCTCTTCTCTCCCCCCCCCGGCGGATCCAAAGGAGACAACAGCTGGAATACCCTTTCCGCCTTCCTACAGTGCCCCCCGATCCTTTATTATTAGGAATAAGAACAGTAATTGATATGAACAGCGTTGTAAGATTAATTAGTTGAAGTGTTTTTTTTTTGTACTGTGTTCTAAATTTAATGGATAAATGTGTCTTGTATATAAAAACGAAAACCCCACTCTGTGTTCTGTGCCGTGGCGTTTTTCCCCCTCCGTCCAGGAGATAAGGAAACAACGGAAATCAGAAAAAACGGGATGTCTCCTCTGTCCAGTTGTTTATAGAGTTCCTGCCTGAAGTAGGCTGATGGTTTCGTTAACGGGAAGGAGCTTCAGACTTTCAGCAGATCCACTGAAGGGGGGAGGCCAGGGGTTTAACCGGACCTCCGGTGGACGAAGCCCCAGTTAAAATCGACAGGGATCCGCTCGGAAAGCGCCCGTAGCAGCCTTCTTGAGAGGCTGATCTTTCAGGCATCATCCCCAATACCTGGAGCAGAGGAAGGTCAGGGCCATCCGTGGGTGTGCTGTGCCAGGCACCTGACCCCCCCCCCCAGAGGGGCCCATGGGTTTCTCCCGGGGTGTGTGTGCTTGTGGGAGTGGAAGGGGCTCCCGTCTTGCCTCTGAAGAGCGACCCTGGAATGGACTGCAGAGGTGAAAAGCTGGAAGTTCAACAGGGGAGGTGTTCCACTGGTCTCTGCCCACCTGTTGAATCGCACCTGCGGGGAAGTGTTTCTCAACAGGCTAGGGATGAGAAGGGAAAGAACCATGGAAGCCAAAGAGGTAGAGGTTGGGCTTTTTTTGGAGGTAGGGTGGGACCATGACTCCCTGGGGGGGTTGCAGTCCAAGAACAGACCTGCACAGTTCTGATAAAAGGGCTTAGTGGGAGTCATGGCGGGTTGTTTGGGTTTTTGGCCACAAGAAGGGCAGGTGGGGACCTTTCTTCGGCTACAAACGCCCTCTTAAGCCCCTCCGGCCCCGCATATGGAGGCCTTTTTCCTCTCTCTCCTTTCCCCCGTCCGCTGCGAACGTGAACCGGAAATCAATGCGAGTGCATAGACTGTGCTCTATACGCCCAAGTGTGGGCTCCTCCCACCGAACCGCTTTCTCTTCGCGTGACGCGTGCGCAGCAGCACGTCCACTGACCCCTCCCCGCCTCCCAGAGTACACCGCGAG